TATTTTAGTTTAGTTTTTTGCAAATTTAGTTTGGAATTTGTTGATATTTAACGACAGCCATTATATCTGAAATTATTATGAAATTATTGACGCAACGTTTTTAATAAGTAGACGGTTTATTTAATTTCTAAATGTATACAAAAGACTTTAATTGATATACGCCTTTTTAAAGTTTAATGTAGTTTAAAAAAATCTTAGTTTCGAATCTCAGTAATTGTGTCGTGTTCTTTCGTCTAAAATTTTGTATATATAATTTTATGATAAATATTGCTTAATTCCAAATGATTTAAAGCTGACGTAATCACAGTTAATTCTGATAGACAATAATAATATCAGTTTCATTTTGTGGTGGGTAAAGAGCATTCGGGATAACATAAACTAAGTTTGCACAATTATTTCGTATTTTATTCTTTTCAATAGGCCGATAACCACATCACGCGTATACGCTAACACATAAAGTTATTTAAATCAACTTGCGCTGTAGGCTTTCACCGAGGCGTTGTTGTAAAGGCCTTGTATAAAATACCACGCATGATACCATGGAAAAACTTATATGGTATTTTTCGTAATATACTCTGCCAAATTCGCTTAGCTGCGAAGTATATCATTCTTATTCTTATGTATATTTTTTCTCTTAATACATATATATATATATATATATATATATATATATATGCGTGTATGCGTGCGTGCGTGTGTACGCGCGTGCTACTTGAGTTTCATTGCCTACCTGTAAGGCTGGTAAAGGAAAGCTTGCGCAAACTTCTGATAGTAGGGAACATCGCATCGTAACACGGTGCGACGTACTCCACCCTAGCCCTATCCGTAAACCTCTATACAATAACATTTCCAGTCTACCGCCATCTAGACCAATTTTGGTCAGTTTTGCTGTATATAATGGAAGACGATCACACCAATTCATAGCTATGCGATTTTTATACGCTTTCATCGTCCGCTGATCATAGTATATACGCTTGTGCGCAAATTAGTTTTTATTGTTTAACCATAGAAGACATAGCTGCGCTATTCCATTCTCAATTGGTAATAATAATTGCAATTCCACTTCTCCTACAATTCGATATAGTCTAGTGCGACTTAAAGCAGTTCAAGATGTAGCATGATGTTTTTAGCAGGGCTTAAATGGGATCATTCTAGTAGATAATACCGAGGTGGTATATGCCTGAATCATAGCATAGCCTATGCGGTGACTGGGAATTCTACCATGAACTTCCGTGAAGGTAAGTAGACAGACCGTGCCAGATATGATGCGCAACATGCGCTTAAAGTTATTCACAATGCTGAGATATGAATAACATCATTTCCACGCTGCAAACTCGCGTAATTCTTCATACTACATAGACATATGCAGATAAAAACTCGTGTGTTTATATATAGATCAAACGCGAGGTTGCGTTTCAAGTACGTTTCGCTACAAAAGACGTACAGCCTTGTTTACCTTGTAATTTATAACTGCTCGTCTACACTAACTATTTCATTTTACAACTATATTTTCAGTATGGAAAATCAAGTGAGAAAACTAGGTGTGTATACATGTTCTTCTTCTAATCCCCGTTGTCATTAATTAAACTGAGTTATATTTAACTCTTTGGTTAGTGAAGGATTGCTCATATAAACCTGGTCGGTTAATATTGAAATTTCCACATTACCTATAGGGGTACATGCATGCGTTTCATTTTACTAACAATCTGATATACACTATATGTAAACATTTGGGCATACAACCAATGTTTATTGTCGTACATTAAACAAAATTATAGATATACTTAGTGATTTCTACCATCGTGATCTCCATCCTGTCAGCAAGTTCATTTTCGTTATTAATAAATTTATTCCATTTATCAGCATCATTGCCGCTGTCAATGCAGACTCTCTTTGTTTTCGGAGCCGCTATAGCTAACGGGGAAACGAACCACAAGCATTGGCGGTCGTTGTCAGAGGCACATTGCCACGTAGGCGAGTGTTGTACTGCCTGCCATCTGCCATTCGCTCATTAGGCGTAGCAGGCGGGTTAAATATGGCCGCTGCGGCCCGCACCAACTTGTCACATTCCTGGCAGAGGTGTCATAATGATTCCTACCGCGGTGTTTATGTGATTCCGCCCCCGATACACGGGAGCAATACCGGTACAAGATACAACACCCGTATATATATATATATATATATATATATGTGTGTGTGTGTGTGTGTGTGTGTGTGTGTGTGTGTGTGTGTGTGTGTGTGTGTGTGTGTAAAGCGTCGGACCGAGACGACGACGGCGATGAAGCGACGGCCGACGACGTTGACGATGAAGCGTCGGACGACGACGTTGACGATGCTACACTATGGCGCGACTGCCCGCCGTGTCCGTGCGGCGTCTGCTAGCGGAAGGCTTCCTCCGTGTCTTCTTCCGTCCGTTGCGCACAGGAAGAAGACCTCTCCACTGTCAGTGCGCTGCCCGATGTCTCCGCCCGGCAGAGAAGGCTAAGAGAAGGTTAGTCTCCGTGATGTCTCCGAATGTCGGCTGGCTGGGAGAAAGTTAACTTGGCTTTCTCCGCGCGTCGGCTGGTTGGGAGTAAGTTAACTTGGCTTTCTCCGTGCGTGGACGATCCGGCGATGGGCGCGTTGTTGTGTGCAACACCCGTCTGTGTGTCGTGTGCGTTACTCGGAGGTTTGCTCGCAAAACCACGCTCTCGCAGTGCACTTCGCAAAGAAACTGTTCTCACGGAGGGAGAGAGAGAGAGGCTGAGTCGGCTGGCACGAGGATCCCAGACGATGACCTTGCTGCTTATATGGCCGCAATCAAAGTGAGGAGAGCAGTCTAGTGACCAGAGAAGAAAATGCGCCAGTGCCATCAACCGATCAGCTATGCTGCGCAGGTAATAAATTGCTGGTAGAGTGGGCGGAGCTAGCTGGGCGGTGGCTTTGATGTCGCCGCCGCCGCACGGCGATGGTAGCAACAGCGGTAAAGGCGTCTCCCGGTTGGCTCGTTCGCTGCTGACGTACAAAAAAAGTTGACGGCGGCGCAGACGCCTGCATAACGATGGCGAATTTATTAGGATCGGCACCAAACGAAATCCATATTTCTCAGAGCGCGCCGCGAAACCAACCTCGCATGGGGAGAACGGACGGGTGGCTGGGAGAATACTGCGTGTGTCGTGCCCCGGCGACCGCGTAGATGCTCCACGGGAAAGCGAACGACGTCGAATAGAAAGCCCCAACTTGAGTAGGAGCGACGTTAAACAATGATCAGCATTGTCTCGCAGACAATGCTACGCGTCTTGCTGAGTGACGGCACCGCTTGTGAGCGCATAGCAGAAGCGTCGCCCGGGATCTGACGGCGCGGATATCAGTAGGGAGTGGGAACGGTTTTTAAGGCAATTAAAAGCATCATGAAATTATCAACCTCGATTGCGATGATGGTGATGATGATGCTGCTACTGCTACTGCTGCTGCTGCTGCTGATGATGATGATGATGATGATGATAATAATAATAATAATAGTAATAATAATACTGATGATAATGATAATAATAATAATATTATTATTATTAAAATTATCATTACAAGGCGAAACGGCGCGCTGCTAGTGTTTCTGTTTTCCCGAAGTTACTTTTTTGGGAACTTTTTTGAAACTGTTGTTATAATATAGGCAGGTGACTACCCAACATTATCCGCGTAATTGAAATAAAAATCCAAGTTCAATAAGTCATCGATACGCGATTAATTCTGTATAGCGTTAGAGGCTTAGATATACTTCACTACGCCTAGTATATATATATATATATATATATATATATATATATATATATTATCAAGGATACTACGCATTGATCAATAAAAGTAGTAATTTTAGCCATGTGTCTCGTCATTATACGAAGCTCATTATATGTGGATGGGTTACGTCTCTGATCTGTAGCGTGATACCATCAAAGGGCGCCTGTCTTTGTCATATACCGCTTAAATTTACCGACGACACACACACATACACATATACACGCGCGCGCACACACACACAAACAAACAAACACACACACATACACACACGCACGCGCGCGCGCACACACACACACACACACAAACACAAACACAAACAAACAAACCCACATACACGCACGCACGCACGCACGCCAGCACGCACGCACAAACTAACGCACGCACGTACTCACACACGCACACACACACGCACGCACGCACGCACGC